ATTTAAAAATCTTATGGCAGTTCAAAACCTGTTGTTGTTTTCCATTGGGGAGTTAGTTGTTGGGATTTTCGGGATGTTCCTGTAATGAACCATTTGCTGAGGCAGAGGGGAGTCCTGGAAAAGTAAAGTCATGCTAATGAAGACAGTAGAATAAAAATAGTGTTAGTGTAGACAGTAAGGTGTGGTTTCAGTTCTCAATGTACAGACTAAGTTTGGGAATAGAAGGTTTTGGTTCTCAGGTGTTGTGGTGTATGTCCATGACCCCCTTACATGGCAGTGATGACCAGCATTTTTCAAAAAATGAACTAAATAAATTACAGTTGAATTGTATCTAGTAAGGATGAGAATCGTTTTGTGGAAATTTTGTTTCAGTTATACATGTGTATGTGTGAAATGAGTCATGAAGTGAAATGTGTCTCTTACAATAGGTCTGGATCCAGAAATATTAGAAAACTAATGCCTAAAAAAATGCTGACAGACCCCTAAAAGGGATGATCCCCTCTCTCAGCCAGTTTACATTGCTCCAATCTAAACTTTCATGCTAATAGTAGAGGAGCATCTAGCTTTATTAAGGAGAAACACATAATCTAAGAATTGGAACAGAAGCCCTGTCCAGGTAGATTAAGGGTTAAGTGGGAACTTTGGATCTATAAGGCTGTCCGCAATTTTGGCAGAGAGCTGAAAGAAGCCAAGTCGTAACTGTTACTTCAGAACAAAAGATGGAGGCTAGACACAAATAACAACTCCCTAATGTGAGCATTATTAGTGTCTACAACCAATCCTTAAGCAGATAAAAGTTCCCTTTTGACTGAGATACAACCTATTTATTCAGGGCACTGGATAAGATGAACTATGGAGTCCCCTTCATTGGGAAGTTTTTATGATTCTAGAGAGAATTTTACAATAGAAGCAGGCAGTTAACCTGAGATGTGTTCTCTGGCTATTACCTCCCAGAGCTGATTCTGAGTATTGTTGGATAGAACAATAAATGTGACACAGTGGCTTCCATTCTCAAATGGGTTATCTACTTCTCTGAGGAAATTCTGCCACTTTATGGCTTTAGAAGGCTGGTGATTTTGGAAGGGACATTAGCCGCCCCCCACAACCTGCCCTGAAATTCCTCAGAAGGTTCCATTCCTATGGATAAGGCACTATCTTCTCCATTTAAAATGTAAATTCTCCTTTGTCTCAGAAGTTTAGCCTTTCAATTTGTTTTTCCTAGTTATCAAAAAGAGGCCTGGATTAAAAACAAAGTTTGAGAAAAACTGCAATACTACCTTAGTAGGAGTTGATGTGGTTTATTCAGGAATTCATTCAGCAAGCAAGGATAAGGCTGATTGAAGCCCTGGATTTCCCCACTTTTGAAGCTTTCATGGTCTGAAGCAGATCTGTAAACAGGTAAATCATAGCCTATGTCTGAGGTTATGGAAAGCCTGGACTTCAGAGCCTTATATACCTGGGAGGGAATTGCATTTCCCTCCTTTCTTAATGGCACCATTTAAAGCCATGCAGCTGAGCTTTGGTTTTCTCATCTGTAGACTGATGAGAATAAAACCAACTTCATAGAATTGTGAGCACCACGTGAAAGATAAAATGCACAGGGCAATTAAGGAGATGATTTTATTCAGGTTATAGCCATAGGGAGAAGGCTCAAAGAAAAGAAAGTAAATTTAGAGTTTTATAGACATAGGTAAACAAAAGAGTCATCACAAGTCTATGGGAGTCATGAGGAAGTATGGAGAGGGTCTGATCTCGGAATATGCCAGGGCAATGTGTTACTATACAATTAGCATCTTTTTTAGAACAAGAAAGGGTGAGGGAGTTTTTCAACTGTGGCTGCTTTCTTGGAGCCCAGGGCTCAGGTAAAGTTTAATGTTATCAAGCACTTAGCATGGGGCCTGGCCCATGGTAGGCATTCAGCAAATGTTTCTTTCCTTCTCTTCCTCCAATAGAAAGATGTGGGTAGTGGTGTGGTGAGAAACCTGTGGTGAGAAAGGCCTGACAGATTTACTCTGCATGAGAGAACTAGATTTGACAAAGGATGTTGAATCTTAAAGGATGAATAATTTTTTGCCAAAAAGAGGGAGGAAAGAACATTATTGATAGTGCTAATGTAAGAGATAAAGGCATAGCGGCTTACAGGAGATTTGCATGTTCAGAGACCAGCTGTAACTTCAATGTGCTACAAGGAGTAACTAGACATAAGGTAGGTTAGAGCCAAATTGTAAAAATGCTTCAAAAGCCATTTAATGCCTGCTGTTTCAGGAAAATAGTCCAGGAATTTATGATTCTGACAAGATTAGATTCCAGTTTATGAGAACCCCTTCCCTGCTGTGTAAGGGATGGAGGCAGGAAGATCGGTTAGCAAAGTAGTACATGATCCAGAGAGGATCAAGGCCTGAACTAGAGCAATGGCCATGAGGATGTCAAGGAGAGGACTGAATTTAAAAAATAGTAAGTAGAATTTACTAGACAGATTATGTAGTTGTGGGGAAGGTCAGCATGGAGGTGAGGGAGGAAGTGGAATAGTGGACAATGATACTGTTAAAAGCAGTATAGGCTAATATTTCAAGTACTTACAATGTGCTGAGCACAGTTCTAAGGGCTCTACACTTATCTCTTTTAACCCACATAAGAGTCCTATGAAGTAAGTGCTCTTTTTTCTCCATTTTTAAATGAAGAAAATGAGGCATACAGAAGTTAAATAACTTGCTCAAGTTTTTACAGATAGTAGGTGGTGAAGCTAGAATTCAAGCCCAAGTTGTCTGAGTGCAGAGACTGAACTTTGGATGACTATGTGAATAGTGTTGCCATTTACTAGGATTGAAGGCTATTGGATGGGGGCAGACTTATGGGGAAAATATTTTAGTTTTGGACAGGTTGATATTGAGTGCAATTATTAAATGGGTCTGGAGCTCCAGAGAAAGATTAGGATCAGAGCTGGAGATTTGAAGGGCATCTACTTATAGGCAGGTGCTCAGAAGGGGCCTTAGGACTGCCTTAGGTGAATGGGATGCACAAATTGGGGGTGGGTAGAGGGAGGGAAATGGTGAAACATATAAGGGGAAGCAGTAGCTTGAAGACAAATTTGATCCACTTTAAGATTTTACAAGCAATGCCTTAGACTTGGAGAGTGCTCATTTAATTCAAGCCCACTGGCACATCTAGAGGTGTCCTGCAGCATCAAATGTCTAGGGATTCCTAGGATTCTTGAGCATGTGCTAGGATAGATTCCATAGTGCCTGTGGTAGGCTGAATTGCAACGCCCCCCCCCCACTGGCAGAACATCCACATCCTAACCCCTGGTACCTGTGAACATTACTTTATATTGTAAAATAAATAAATAAAAGAATGCTATTTTATACAGTAAAATTAATTTTAAAAATAAATTTAATTGCAGATATAATTAAATTAAAGTTCTTAAAATGGGGATATTACCCTGCATTATCCAGATGGGCCCTAAATACAATCACATGTAGTAGAGGGACGCAGAGGGAGATCTTACACACACCAAGAAAAGGTGAAGTGAAGACAAAGCAGAGAGACATTTGAAGATGCTGGTTTTGAAGATTGAAGTGATGTGGCTATAAGCCAAGGAATGCCAGTAGCCTCCAGAAGCTGAAAAAGACAAGGAATGGATTTCCCCCTAGAATAGCCAGCAGGACTCTGGCCCTGCCAGCACCTTGATTTCAGCCAAACTGTACTGATTTTAGACTTCTGACTTCCAGAACTGTGAGATAATTTCTGTTGTTTTAAGCCACCAAGTTTGTGGAAATTTGTTATAGCATCCACAGGAAATTAATGCAGGGCCTCCTCAAAGCTATCACTACTTAACAGACTTGATCCAGTAATTCCTAATTCTCAATAGGTGTCAGGCCTCATTTGCCACATATTAGACATGGTACTCTTGTTATGTGCTTTGTCAAGTTTTCTTGGAACACATGGAATAGGGAGACCCTCAAATTCATAGGGAAGGAATGGGGAAGGATAGGGCCCTTTACCTGAAAAGTACTATCCAAAAATAACCTCTAAACCAAAATGTTCATGAATGATTCCTGCAGACCTGGCAACTTCTCTGACTGGATTGAATCTTAAGGGGTCATATAAGCCATCTCCCTGTCTTTGCCTGCACACAGCTAAGAGCCTGAGCATGGAGAGGGTATCTGGTTTCTGGAAGACACCTCGCCTACTGTTTGGCATGGCTACTCAGGACAGAGTAACTATCATTCAAGAACCATGGGCAGACTAGATCTTAGGAGAAGATGGCTGGAGAAAGAAGCACATATAGAGAATGGATTGGAATTTATTGATGTAAAGTGCAAAAGAGTTACTCCCAGCAATGCTGTTAGAGTGTTAGCAACAGTTCTCTCTCATGTGTTAGATTGGAAAATAACTTCTGTGAGAAAGATTGGGACAGAGTCTTGAACATATTTTAGCCAACCCATAAAATCAGAAGGGTTTCATAATATTGCTTTCCCCTCCAGAACTCCAGAATCCCAAGAAATTGCACAGAAAAACTAAGTATACCTTTGTGGATGTTGAAACCAACATAGCAGTGGAATGCTGGCAGAGTAAAATCCTACAATTTTCAGCTATGGAAAAGAACCTAGAGATCACCCAGTCTAAGCTCCTCACTGTACAGATGTGAAACCCAGCAGAGTTTTTTTAACCCAACTTTAGATATTTAGGTACTAGATATTTGTTCTGCAGTCTTGCTTTAGAGTCCATAGTGTTTTACTGGATCAGGTATTGATTCATGGCAATGAAAACATTAAGCGTTTTTCCAGTACACTGGACGCCCACAATCCCTCCCCGGCCCGCCAGGGAGCGCAAACTAAAATTCCTCCTGCAGCCCAGAAGTGTCCCTCCGGGTCTGGGACAGAATTCCGTTAGCAACCAGGAAATTAGCGGAACCTTGAGGCTGAATGCTTGCAGCTGGTACGGTTACTTTGAGGAAAGAACACTTCCGGTCGGAGAGGCCGTTCCCGCAACTTGTGGTTTGGTCAGCCTCTAGCTCTCGCGTTTCGATTTGCCGCGCTAACGGTGGGAGGCGGGCTTGCGTCGGGGTCACACTCTCCCATTGGTTGCTGTTGCGGCGGCGGTTTGGAGTGAGGGTAGCACGTTGAGCTGGAGGCTGTGCGGAGTGCGGCGGCCCAAAGCCTGGCAACGAGCCCGGTGTCTGGTGGTAATCCGGGATTGAGCCAGGCCTGAGTCCCCGGGTGATGGATCGCGTGTGGAGTGCGTGGTGCGGAAAGTGCGTCAAAGAGAAAGGGTCGCCGCCACTCTGGGCCCAGCGCATCGTGGTCGCCTGGCTCAGTAGGGCCGAGTGGGATCAGGTGACAGTGTATCTGTTCTCTGACGACCATAAATTGCAGCGGTACGCGCTGAACCGCATCACCGTGTGGAGGAGCAGGTAAGGCGGCAGGCTTAGCCCTCCTGCCTGCGTGCTGGTGGCACTTCACCTCTTCCTTTGTAGAATTTCCATAAGGCCTTATTACCCAGTTTTCTCCTAAATGCCTAATGGCCCCCCGCTACGCGTAGTTTGGGCATTGCTTGTCTCCCAAGTGCCCGGGGGAAGGTCGCAGCCAAGCTCGTGCACTAATCCCTTTTGCGGAAAGAAACGGGGTGTGCCTCAACAGCCCTTTTGTCAAGTCTGTGAGCTTTGATCCTTACCTTCTCTCATCTTGGGGTGGGTGCCGATGAGAGGGCACCGCTGTGGCTGAGCCAGCCTTGTCTTAAGGAGTAGCACTCTAGGGTGGATTTCTGATTCGAAATAGAAAGGGGGTGGGGGGAGCTTGCCTGCAAAAGCATGTTTGAATGGAGCGCTTCAGTCCAGTTGGTAAGATTTAGTTGGGAGCAGACAAGGGGCTAATGCCTCCAAGAATAAGGTCTTCTCTGGGTGAAAGAGTTGAGGGTTTCACGGTGAAAGAAAGGAGTGTGTCCACACTTAATTGTTGATTGGCTGTGTAGCAGTTAGATATCCTTTGTATGTCCTAAACCAGCCTCTCATGTCCTGTGTACTATTGGATCCCAGGGACATTACCCTCCCTCTTCCCAGCTTCTTGATTTGTGTCTATCCACACACTCTTGAGCCAGTATATAATTGCAATAACCTACAACCTAGGTTCTGAGATGGAGGGTGGGCCTGTGTAAAGGACCTTTATGATGGTGCTGGACTGTGGCCCTTTAGGTTAGGCAACGAACTCCCCCTGGCAGTGGCTTCTACTGCAGACCTGGTACGCTGTAAGCTCATGGATGTAACTGGTGGCTTGGGCACTGATGAACTTAGACTGCTCTATGGCATGGCATTGGTCAGGTAAGACCTACATGGGTAGGGGTGTGGGGGGGTGGTTTTTTGAGGGGGGGGGGCATGGGCTTAGCACATGATAAGCAAAGTTTGGCTTTGGGTTCTACCTGAAGCAAAAAGCCTTGTGTGTCCCTGTGTATGGGTCACCTTATGATTGCTTAATGTGACAGCTTTTGGTACCCCCTGTTAACACACATTCCTCTTTTTTCCTGAGAGCCTTCTCTCTTCCGTTTTTCTTTCCCTCTCTTTGGAATGTTGGGTGGGGGGTGGTTCAGACCAAGTGGTCTCTATGGGTCTCTTCCAGCCTTGACAGTTTGATTTACTTTCCCCCTTTTACTCTTTCACCCAGAGGAACTTTTCTACATGGTTCAATGCCCTTGCCCATGATTTAATGTGGATTTTCTAATCCTACCCCTACCTACACCTTTTTTCCATTCTCTCCACGAACACTGAAAGGTTACTGAGTTGTGGAAATGGAGACATGGGCCAGGAGTTCCTGATTTACAAAGCGACTCAGAGTGGTTCTAGCTGTATCATGTACATCAGGAAAAAGGTTGCCTCTGAGTTTTCTCATCTGTCAGAGTCTTTGCTTAGCTCATACTGTTTGCCTTGTCTGCCTTGAGGTCCTCCCTAGCTCTTCTTACCTTCTCCATTGTTTAGCTGTGCTCCTCATATCATTTGATGTAGTCCTTTGTTGTAGCATTTATAACATATTATGTTCTAGCATAATATATTATATTATGTCATGATTATTTATCCTAGACTGAACTCTTCAAGGCCAGAGCAGTGTCTTATTCATTTGTATGGCTTCAGTACAGGGCAGAGTCTCAGTAAATGTTAGACTGGATGGAACCATTCCTGCTCTGGTTGACACCAACCATAAGAACAGGACAGAACAGTCATTGGAAAGGTTGTGGAAATGCAAGTTGACAGTAACTCAGCAAGGTGTTTTAAAGCCCCACTGGTTTGAATAAAACAGTTACTTGGGCTATGCCACTTATTTCTCCCCCAAACTCAGGTTTGTGAACCTTATCTCGGAGAGGAAGACAAAGTTTGCCAAGCTCCCTCTTAAGTTCCTGGCTCAGGAGGTGTGTATGATAAAGTAGACTTGCTAAATTCTCTCTTCTCAGGAGGACTCACTAATGGGGCATGGGGTGATATGGATACAGTCAGACTAGCTCATCCCATCACTGTCAGCCAAGCCCAGCAAGAACCCCAGAGCCTCAACTTCTAGCTTGAAAGAAGCAGACCTGCTCCCTTGCTCATGGCTGCTATCTTCAGTGGGCTTGGCCTGCCCAGCTTGCTGGGAGTGGCCCAGGTGAAGCTGAAGCACCCCAATGCACCCCTGAGTGGGGACAGGAAAGAGGTGGCAGTTAAAGTGCCTGCCCTCTGGTTGTTGACAGTCTGAAGGAGGAGACAAACTCAGCCAAGCAGGGTGAAAATGCAAGACATTCCCGCCTTGAGTGAGTATGGGAGGTGTGTAGAGACCCAGATGGCAGACAGGTTCTCAGCCATCAAGAGAAGCTTCCTGGAGGAGGTCTGGGAGAGAAGGAGGAAGGGAGGAAGAGAGGGGAGAGTAAAGGGTACCCTGGGAGAGCAACTGGTACAGACAAGGGCAGAGGGAGGCTGAAGAAGGTGATTGTTAATGCTCATTCACAGGAATCTCTTCATTGGAGGAGGGTAGTTGGTGGTTGGGGGAGGCGAGTGTCTTCTGATTTTCAAGATCACTTCCACAGAGCGTAAAGAGAATCAGGAGACTTGGTTCCTAATCTTGGCTCTGCCACTAAGAACGGAACCTCCTCTCAGGAGCTCAGTTTCTCTATCTGTAAAATGGGGAGAAGCCAGGTTAGTTCATCTCTGTGGCCCTTTCTGCTTTAATATTTTCTAATTTCTGCACTCACACCCTCCCCCATAATCAGGTGAACATTCCGGATTGGATTGTTGAACTTCGCCATGAGTTGACCCACAAGAAAATGCCCCATATAAATGACTGCCGCAGGGGTGAGTCCCCAGGGAGTATACCTATCACAGTTTAGCCCAGAGGCCTGGGCTACGTGGCACTGTGGGGGGAGAGAGAGGGAGGAGGGTCTTCACTTGGGGTCAGAGCTGAGACTAGGGTGAGGTGAGTGAGGCATTTGCCTTGGACACAAACTTTAAGGAGTCTCTGTTCTCCCACTTGCTAGCCCCGTGCCGTTTTTGGCATCCCATCTTCAAGTCTGGTATAGGTTTTTTCTAGGAAATGTGCTGGTGAGTGGGAGGAAGCAAAGAACTCGGGGATAACCCAGAGCAAGAGGGGCTGCTTCTAGATATTTGAGATTTGTGCTTCCTTGGAGCCAAGCCTCTTACCTGGGGCCTCCCCATAATGTTAGCAAGATGAGGCTGGAGGCCTGCTAGGAGCTGCTTGCCTGGGCTGTTACTATGGCACTGCCTTCCTTCCTCCCCTCCTTTAGGCTGTTACTTTGTCCTGGATTGGCTCCAGAAGACCTACTGGTGCCGCCAACTGGAGAACAGCCTAAGAGAGACCTGGGAGTTGGAGGAGGACAGGGAAGAGACAGATGAAGAAGACCAAGAGGAAGATAAGAACATTGTCGTTGATGACATCACAGAACAGAAACCAGAGCCTAAGGATGAGGAGAAAGGTTCAGAGCTGGATGTTAAGGCTGATGGAGACAGCGAAGGCAACAAAGAGGTTGATCCACATTGGCAAAAGGCTGTGAGACATAAAGAGTTGTATGGTAGGTGTCCTTGATACAGAAAGGGGCCCATGAGCTTGGAAGACTCGGACTTAGGTTGACTCTGGTTATTTCCCTGGCTCAGTATTTCCTCTGGGGTTGTGGTGAGGCTTAGCTTAAAAAAATTACTGTCACAAATCATCTTCCTTGAGCTCCATGAGGCAGGAGAGCCAAGAATTCTAGTTCCCAATTTACAACTCAAGAAATGAGGTGAGAGGGCTCAAAATTCCATCAGGAGCAAGGCACAGGGCTGGCTGCTCTATCTGTTTCCCTATTCTGTTTTCAGAAAGGGCCCGAGAACTGCTGGTATCCTATGAAGAGGAGCAGTTTAAGGTAAGAAAGTGCCCTTGACTTGGCCTGTTTTCATCTGCCCCAGCCATTTCTTCCCCCTTGCCAGCTACCTGAGAGAAGTCTTGAGAATGAAATTTAAAGAAAAGTGGCAAAGCTTGGAAAGCTCTTCCAAAACTCTTCTTGGAAAGAGAGAGAGGGGAAGTAGGAAGGAGACAAGAGGAGCAGAGTCCAGTTGGCCGATCCTGCACATCACTGGAAGTTTGTGGATAATCGGTCCCACTGGGTGGTAGGGAACAACAGGGTTTAGGTGGTTGCTTAGACCTGCGGTACTGCAGCTGATCAGCAGATGGCGTCCAGGAACCTTCCTAGATCAGGTGAGCTTGAGGGGTGCTGTTTTAGCAGGAAGGGAGGTAAGCTTAGAAACCATTCACCTCAACCCTTCCTTTTCACAGATGAAGAAATTGAAGCCATGGATGAGTGAAATGACTGGCCCAATGTCACATATGCAGTTAGTGATAGAACCAGGACAAGAACCTGAGTCTCCTGATTCACTTTCTTCCATAACCCATTGCTTCCTTTCACCCCTTGGTCCAAGGGTCTCTGCCCAACTCCAACCAAATGCCCCCATTGGATATCTATGTATTGGATTATCTGGTTATTGACAGCCACAATAACAAGGGAATTTGGAGGGTGGGGAGGGAGGAAGAAGAGAAAGTCTGGAGTTTGAGAGTCAGGATATTTTTAGTTGCAGGACCAATAGGGACATTGTGGGCTCACCTCTGCATACCCTGCCGTATCCCCTGAAGGGACATGCTGAGAGGTCCTATGAGAAGGAATCCTGGAGGGATGGGGGGGTGTTACCTGGCTGAACCAGCCTTCTGATGGGACCCTCTTTGCTGGCAGGTGCTGGAGAAATTTAGGTATTTACCTCAGGCCATTAAGGCGTGGAATAACCTGTCCCCACCTGTAGAATGCATCCTGGCAGAGCTCAAGGGCATTACATGGGAGAACAGGTGTGTAACTAGGTAATCAGGGGCTGCCTACTCTCTAGGGTAGAGCGTAGCAGCCTCACTGAAATTGGTTTTCATATCCCAGCTTGCCAACCTCTGCTGTAGGAAATCCCAGGGATAACCTTGACCCACCACGGGTGACCTTGCATTTCACATGATCCTCTTCCCCAAACCCTGCCAGCTACCAGGTGGGGTTTGCCTACTCTGAGTAACTGAAATGGCCAGAGGCAGGAATGTCTACCGTCATCCATCCCCTGGCCAGCTTTGTTCCTGTTTGTCCAGTGGTATGTGGAGCTCTTGGCAACTAGGAAAAGCCGTTAACCTTTTGCTTTTTCACTGCCGATCTCTTGTCCGAGTTTGAGGTAAAAGATATATGGTAGGCACTGCTGGTCTCTTTTGAACTGCTATTAGAGAGGATCAACATCCCCTGGATAATTGTGGTTGAGGAGAGAGAGGAGGGGCCTTCCCAGGGCCTGGATCCTCCAAAGACTAAGTCCCCACTGACCCACCCAGTATGGCCATGAGCCTTATTTTCCCCTCAAAGTAGTACTCAGTTCAGTCAGAGCAGACAGTGTCTATCCATTCCTTTCCTCCCTGGCTCTTTGGGGCTTGCTACCTACATTCAGCTGGAAAGGGCTTTGGGAAGAGGTTGGAAAGAATCTGGGATGGAGCGGAGAGTATAGGAAGGTGGTGTATGTGGCAGAGTGGGCCTGGGTGGGGAGCCTGCAGTGCAGGTTAGGATTGTCCCTGGCGTCTTCTTTATTCCCAGGATACCAGTAGTTCCAAAGGTGTTTTATCAGTGTCTGCCCAGCCTAGGCTTCTTAGCTGTACCCTTCAGTAAAGGGGTGAGTGGTGGCCCCCTCCGTAGCTTGGAAAACTATCCTTGTGCTATACAGTAGCGTCTGCCTGGTCATGCTGAGCAGGCAACTGGCTGACTGTTTTAAGTGCTCTTCCTGCATACTGACCTGAGGAGATGGGAGATGGATGGAAGGACAACTCTTTCCTCCTTGAGCCTGGTAGAGGGAGGGATCTGAGCATGACAACTCTCCAGACATTGAGACACCTTGGGAGCTCTTGTTCCCCCTCAGCCCAATCAGCTAGGAGAGCCTCTCTTAGGGAACTGCTAGCTCTGGAGGAGACAGCTGGATGTTGCTGGTTTTGGTTTAAGCTAGATGGGGATGAGAGATTACCCCTATAGCTTATACTTTTAACCTCTGTATCTTAGTTCTGGGTTCTTGGGGTCCTTAGGAATGAGAATAATATAATATTTGGCCCAGCAATTGAGTCCCCAAAGTTTCTGCTTGTAAGATCTGAAAGAGGGTAACCAGGGAGAAGGGAAGCGGTAGGAGACTGGAGGACTGTCAAGGGAAACAAAGACTAAGCAGGAACTAAAGTCTAAAAGCCCTTGACCCTATAACCTCAGGCATTTAACTCCTTTGTGGGCCTGGGACTTTTCTTCATCTGTGCTTTCGGACTTGTTAAGCCACTACTGCCCTTGTTATGGGCCTTAGATTTGCCTGTGCTAGGTAAATGCTTGTTCAAAACCCACAGATCCCAGTCTTTGGCTCAGCCCCTGACTCAGGGAGGCTGAGGCCTGAGAACCAACTGTCATCTGCCTTCCTTTTCCCCCATGCTGGTTTGGCCATTTGAGTCAAAGGCATTAGCTGCCTTGGGAGTGGGTAGGGGAGTAGAAGAGGGTCTTCTGCCTGTTTCATTTTACTTAATTTAGTGTCCTCTTGCTCCAGGGAGGCTCTGCTAGATGCTTTTCTGGATGACGGCTTTCTCATCCCCACATTTGAACAGTTGGCGGCTTTGCAGTTAGACTATGAAGGTAGGGTCCTGGAGGCTCGATGCAGCCTTAGGGTACTGTGTATCCTGGGCAAGAACACCAGGGGTGGGCTGGGTGGCCCTGGACTGGGAGGTAAGGGCTGTTTACTGCTGTTCCATAGCTACTGGAAGCCCTCTTGGCTGAGCAGAACATGTAGCCCCACTGATAAGTAGTTATTGGGCTATCCTTAGGTGGCCTGGAATTGGGTGGGGTGAGGTGGGCTGGGGTGGGCTGGGGTGGGGGTGGGGGTCTTAATGCCATTATTGTGCTATGTTAATTGTGATCTAGCCACTTGGTAGAGAGCTAGAACAGCAGAACTGGAAGGGCCTTGTGAGGTCATCTAGTCCAACATCCTCATGTTACAGATGGGCAGACTGAGGTCCAGAGAGGGGAAAGTACTGACCCAAAGTCACACAGTGAGTTATTGACAAAGCCGAAGCTAGAACCAGAACTCTTTTTCTTTTATATTCTATTTTGAGTCAGTTGTTGTTTACCAGATACTAACTGGTTTCTCTCCCCGCTCTTCTACTTTCCTCTTTCCTCCTGTTCTGCGGTGGCAACTCTGTTATTGTTGGTGGGGCCCCCTCTTCTTCTCCCTCTCTCTCCTCCTCTTCCTCTCTTCCTTCTCTCTCTACCTCTTTCCCTTTCTCGCCTTCTTCCCTTCCTCCTTCCTTCTCTCTCCCTCCCTGCCTCCCCTTTTCCTGTCAATGGGTGTTTCTCACAAACCAGAAAACGTGGACTTGAATGACGTCCTGGTGCCAAGGCCGTTCTCTCAATTCTGGCAGCCCCTGCTCAGGGGCCTCCACTCCCAGACCTTCACACAGGCCCTGCTGGAAAGGATGCTCTCTGAGCTGCCAGCCCTGGGGGACACTGGGATCCGGCCCACCTACATCCTCAGATGGACCATTGAACTGATCGTGGCTAACACCAAAACTGGTGAGGGAGACTAGCCCTAGCCCCAGGGCCTAATGCAGCCCAGGCAAGAGCATCTGCCACTGTGCTCAGCTCTTGACTGAATAGCACCAGGAGGACACATCCCTTGTGAAAGGTTTAGGTCTGCCCAAGAGGGCCCCACAGCAGCAGTGGACAAATCTCCCTTCACATTTTTCTTCTCAGAACCAAGTAAACTGGACTGGGGCAAAGGGTCCTGAATACTTTGAGCAATTGGGAGGTATAGAATGGGGAGTCGGAGTCTGGGGAGACAGGGATGGGCAGAGCCAAGCTTTTCAAGGTGCAAGATTGGGTGGGGGGGATTTCTAGTTCCTTCTCCTCAGGCCCTCTCTTCTCTCTCAGGACGGAACGCCCGCCGGTTTTCTGCAAGCCAGTGGGAAGCGAGGAAGAACTGGAGGCTATTCAACTGCTCTGCCTCCCTTGACTGGCCCCAGGTGGTTGAGTCCTGCTTGGGTTCACCTTGCTGGGCCAGCCCCCAACTCCTTCAGCTGTAAGTCTCTTGAATTCCATTCGGTAAGAGGGTGAGACCCTGCAGGCCTCAGGGCCACACAGCCCTAGAATGGCACAGTTGGACGAGCCCTTGCAAGGACATCTAGTCCTGTCGCCGTCCTACTAACAGATGAGAGAATTGAGTCCCAGAGAGGGTAGGGTATTCTTGCCTAAGATCACAGAGCTTAAGACGTGGCTGAACTGAGTCCAGTATGAAAATGGACAAGGCAACCCCCCTAGAGTGGTTAGCACAGTGGCCTGTACAGAGTAAGTGCACAATAAATGGTAGCTGCTGTTTATTATTGAACCCATTCTTCTGACTTTACGCCCAGTGCTGTCTCTATTATCTTCCCAAAATATACCTCTCATAGATGCTTAACTACCTTCAGTGGCTCCTTACTGCCTTCCTAATGAGGTCTAGGCTTCTTAGCCTGACATTCAAAGATCTTTCTGATTCTGCCCCAACCTATCATGACAACCATACCTCCTGTGATTCCCCTTTACCCAGTCTACTCTGGGTGCTGTGGTCAAACTGAATATTGCGCTGGTTCCTGTAAATACCTGTGGTTGTCTCCCTTTTTTTCTGTCATTTCCTGACCCTGAGCCACTTCCCTCATACTCATGGAAGGCTTTAGCACCCAATTCTCTTCCTGCTTTCTGGAATGATATCTGTTTCATTTGAGTGACCCATCTGACATTGCAGCTCCTCACCTCCAGTGACCTTCATTCTCCACTACACTCAGCAACCCACTTCCATCACTCAGAGCTATTCCACCTCTGAAAGCTTACATCCCAGCATCCCACTCGGTGACCACCACCTGTTGTCCTACCAGTTCTCACCGTCGCATCCCACAACATCTGCTCTTTGCCTGCCTCCAGACCTCCATCCCTCCATTTCTTACCCGCCTCAATTTTGCTTCCCCTCAATCCTATCTGTGGTTGATCACTTCAACCACCCATCATCAGCATCCTCAGCTCTGCCCATCCCTTGGTGTGTCTGACTTGCAAACCCCCAAGCTAGGAGTGATCCTCCCCACTCTGCTTCTCCCACTCCTCAGCCCGGGTAGCTGAGCTCTGCTGGAGAAAACCACATAGCCCTGCAGATTGCTGCCACTGCAGAGGTATGATTTTTAATCTCAAGCCAGGCCTCAGTTCTGCTTGTCTGAACTTTTACTTGTTTTCTGCCCACTTTCTCTCCTGTTTCCTGACTGTTCTGAAAACCTTACCACTCATCTCAAGCCCCATCCCCCCCTCCCATTTCACCCTAGCTTCCTCAAGCACATGGAGGCCTCCAGCAGGGCCCCCTTGACCTGAGGTCCAGCCCTCATGAACTGATCTTCGGCTACACTCAACGTTGTCGCCAGTCTCAGTATGAGGTGGCCTTGCCCAACCTCAAAGCCTTCCCTCCACTTGTGCTCTCTGCTAGCATCACTGGGGCCTCACCCCAGCCTCTCCTTTGCTCTACTGGCTCTTACTCTTCAACCTGTGAACAGTGCCTGAGTTTTTCTTATCTTTAAACCAAACAACAACAACAACAACACAAGCAAAATCTCCTTTGACCCTGCATCCCTCTGTTGGGTTATCACTAGCTTATCACTCCTTCCTTTCCTATCAAAACATCTCAAAAGAGTAGTCTATACTCAGCAGTCTCAATTTCCTCACTACCTTCTTACTCCTCAAGCTGCTGCAATTTGGCATTCATCCCCAGAGCTGCTTTGACCTAATTACCAAATCCAGTGGGCCCTTGTCCATTGCCTGTCTGCCGCATTGATGCTGTTTACCACTCCCTCCTTCAAATGCCTGTGCTTTTTTACTAGTTCCAGTAAAGTGCCAAAGCTCAAATCTCTTTATCTAGCTCAGGCCTTTCCCCTAAGATTAAACCTCCTGTATTTGACCGCATGCCAGATATCTCCCCTTAGATGGCCTCCAGTCACCTTACTGTGACCAAAAGAGCATGGGTCATCTTACTCCCCACCCCAGCCCCAAAGTGAACTTCTTCCTCTGCTCCCTATCTCACTTGGTGGCAGCACTATCTACCGTGTCATGTTGATTCTCTCAAGTACTTCTCAAATCTGAGATTCGTGTCTATTTCCCCTAGTGTCTCCTTCCCTCTATCAGACTAAGCTTTTCAAGGACAAGGGTTCTGCATTAGCCATCTGTGCCCCAGCACGCCATGCAAGTCCAGGCCCCAAATAAACCTCAGTAAATGCTGAACTGAACTGTACTCTGCTGTCTCATTGCCAGCAGTGCTGTCTTTGGTGGGAGCTGAGTCCAGGCTTGAGGAATAAATGAAGTGGGAGTCTGGATGCTAAGACCGTCTTAGTCCCCTGATCTTTCCCATGGAGTCAGAAAGTCTTTCTTGAACCCTAATGACATTTGGGGCACAGTTGTATCTTATAAGTAACTTATAAGAGAAAAAAGTAGCCTTGTTGACAAAAGACAGCCAGTTCAAGACCTCCAGGAGATGAGACTGAACCAAACAGCCAAATCTCCAGATGTGTATGCTCTAGACTGGAAGTGATATGGATGGGTGGGAAACTGGGAGGAGAACCAAAAAATCCTAGAGGCATTTGAGCAATTCCAGCAAGAGAAAGAATAAAGGAAATTTCAAAATTCTGAAGGAATATGGCATATGTATGTAATGGGGGGAGGGAATGAAAAGAGCAGCATGGAAAGGTTGGATAAGTGGCCTTCAAGGTACTTTCCAATCCTAAGTGCCTACAGAGTGGAAGCTGCTGGTCTTGGAGAAGTCTGGACCACAGAGATCTTCTCCCAACCCAAGCATACCAGCGGGATGCGACACATGCCAGCAGTAACAGCGGCTCACTTGGGTACGATTTCTTGTGCACAGATCCTGCCTTTCGCAGATAATCGGTGAATCTAGTCCTAATCATCCTGTTACACAGATTGGGAAATGGGATTTCCCCAGGTATTAGGCTGCAAGTCAGTAACAAGTCTGCAAGTCAGAGCTGGGGCCAGAAACCAGATTCCAGATATACTGTCCTTACTCCTGTGCTCTTTCTACAGTGTTCCATTAGATTGCACATACAGAACATGACTTTTCTTTTCCCCACAGGAAAAATAAAAGATACCACTGGCAATTAAGTGTCGGACATGGTGCTGTGTTTGTAGAAGCATTTTCATTTAACTTGACACAGCAGTCTTTGGAGGTGGAGATATTATATACTTTTATTTCACAGATAAAAAAGACACCAAGGTTCTGAATAGTGTGAAGTGACTTATCCAAAAGTCATGCAATTTGTTGGTGGTGGGACAGGGATTTGGGCCCAGGGCTTATGAGTCCAAAGTCCACCTTCTTTCCACCAGTCTGACCTGTGACCTTCTCAGTCCCTAGCTGTGACCAGGCAAACCCGAGGAAGGAGATGGATTTTAAGATTCATGTCACCCCTGCACCTCAGTGGTCAGACTAGACAGCTTGAGAGAGTGGGTGTGTAATAATAATAAACAGTGGTAATATGGCATCTTGCCAACATAAAGTACCTGGGAATATTTATTATTAATCCTACAAATGGACCACAGTGAGAGGGAAGAGAGTTTCTCTCTGGCTTTTCCTCTTAGTAGTAAGGCTGGAAGCTTTTTGAGAGCTTCCCCCAGCCAGCCAATATCAAGTCAGTTTGAGCCAGTGCCATCTTGGAATGTGAAATTAGCCCTGCAGAGAGGGTCTCCCAGTGGAGTCACTAGCTCCCAGCCCTACCCCCAGCAGCCAGTGACCAGCAACCACACCTATGTGTCTGGTCTGCCTATGGGGCCCAGAGAGAAAACAGCCCGCTGAGCACATGGCCCTTCCTTCTGTGAACAACCCACAATTCAAACTCAATACACTTAGAAGGAAACTATCCATCTGTCCATCCTACCATGCCTCCAGCGGTGACCAGGTGCCTGCTGGGTGCCCAGTTCTATGTGAGGCTCTGCAAGGGGTACTCACCCTCTTCCTCCCCAGGAGCTCTCCTTCCCAACCGCTCTGTGTTTGTTGGTGGTTTTGCTGTTAGCGCCGTCCTTTGTATGCACGATGTCGTCATCTTTAACTCCCCTCTGCCTTCCCCTCTACCATCTGATCACCAAGCCCTGCTCTCTGTCTGTCTGTCCTTCATAGCTTCTCTCCCTCCCATCGCTGCTGCCAGTGCCCTAGGTCAGCCCTCACCGACTCTCCCTGGTCTCCCTGACTCCAGGCTGCCCCACCCAGGCCATCCTCCACATGGTCACCATGGTGATCTTCAGAAATGCAGCCTTCACCTGTGCTTGAGCACACGTCAGATGACCCCCTCCACCCAACACACACACACTTAACCTTTGCAGGCTTCTCTTGCTCCCACAGCTGCTCAGCACAGCCCTTCCGCTCGAGCCAGGCTACTCTCACCGCATGCACACAGCCCGGTGTGCTCGCTCTTGTCTCTGCACAAAGCCTTCCCTTGATCTCTCCTGCCCTCCTTGTGCTCTCTGCCTCCCCCCAGCTCCTGCAGTGCCCAGGTCTGCATTGCTCATCTGGCCTCCCGCCCACATTCTGCTTTGTCTTGTCAGCTGCTGCTTTTTTTTTTTCTTTTCCTCCATTCCAGGCTGGGCTGTAGTTGTCTCCCAAAAGGGATCACACTTTGTGTTCCATGCAGAAGGAGCACAGCACACTTCCAGGCATATCTTTGGAGCTCAGGATACATTGCTCGGCTAAAGAGAGGGATCTATTCTCATGTCCAGCCCTGCAGGCCTGTTGGCTAGTTTGTGTATTTATATAGCATTTCAGTACAGATTAATAGCTCTCATTTATTGATTGCTTACTATGTGCCAGGCACTGTGCCAGGCATTCTGTGTGAGCTATCTTATTTACTCCTTTCAACAACCCTCTAAGTTAGGTGCCATTATTGTCCTCATTTTACTGAGAGTGGAAGTGAGCCACAGAGATGAATTACAGAGCTCGTTCAGGGTCCATGGCCCTATTGTATCTGTGTTTTGTCTGCTCTACTGCACTGCCTTTCAGAGGCAGGTCTGGAAGCTCAGAGACCAAATTGAAACTGGACTTTTGGGATATAAAATGACTTGAGATTTTGAATCTTTCTTACTCCATCCCTCTGCTCAGCATCTTCAAAGCCATGGGGCAGGTCCTGCCAGACGAGGAGCAGGAGAAGCTGCTGCGCATCTGTTCCATTTATACCCAGAGTGGAGAAAACAACCTGGTGCAGGAGGGCTCAGAGGCTTCCCCCATTGGGAAGTCTCCATACACACTGGACAGCCTGTACTGGAGCCTCAAACCAGCTGGCTCGAGCTCTGGACCTGAAGGAGAAGCCCAGCAACAGGAGGAACAGGGCAGCCTTAATGATGCCAAGGAAGATGAGAAGAAGAAGCAAGAGGCCTTGGAAGACCAGATGGAAGAGGAGGAGGGAGAGGAGGAGGAAGAGGAAAATGATGACCAGAAGTGGGAGGAGGAGGAGGAAGGTGGTGATGATGACGACGACGACGACGACGACGATGATGATGACGATGACGGCGAAGATGAGGAGGAGGAAGACAGGATGGAAGTGGGGCCTTTCTCTATGGAGGAAGAGTCCCCCACTGCTGAGAATGCCAGGCTCCTGGCCCAGAAAAGAGGAGCTTTAGAGGGCTCTACATGGCAAGTTAGCTCAGGTAAGAAGCCTGATATCCACTTTCTCCCCACATCTATCTTCCCTCTCTGGCTGGCTCTTGAGGCTTCCCTTCACCCTAGAGAAAGGATGGAAAGTAGCAGGAGGTAGCCAGCATGAGGCAAGCCTGGGAGACAGCCTGGTGTGTGGATGACAGCTGGTTTCCCTCCCCCTTAAGATGGAGCATGTGAGCGCCAGGGACCTTAGCACTGTCATGCTGCCAGCTGCCTCATGCAGAGAGCATATTCAGAGAGGTTGGTGTGGGTGTGGGCACTGGGCAGCAAAACACAGAAAGCTAGAGTTAGGTGGTTGATATATGTATGATTCTGCGTGTGTTTTTCATGTGCAGTGATCAGGGCAAGGAGCCAAAGAATAGTGCTTTCTGTGTATATGTGAATGTGTATGGACACGTGGAGGCTGGTTGGTGATAGGACAGGATTTTGCTGTGTGTATGAGAAAGAAGGAACCCAAGGGTATTCAGTCAGTGGAAGTGGAAATGAGATCAGAAGGGGGAGAATAAGGAGCAGTGCAGTTTTTTGGTGAGTATGCAAGTTAGTGAGACAAAGCCAGGAGGGAGCAGGGGGTTGAATGGTAGGTGGAGGAACATGAGTCAGCTCCTGAGGGTGGTTTTTTGAATGCCCTCATTTGGGTTGGGGAGCAGGAAGCTTAAGGCAGGGGGACTCCGCAGGAATGAACAGTCTGATGTGTGCACATGGGCATGTGTGTATGTGTACACGCTGGAGGCAGGGGTAGACATGGGGCACAGCCCATGTGATGGAGCCTGGGGCTGGGACTGGGTATGCTGTGGGGTAGGCTTGGTGGGGAACAATAGGGAGAGAAAGGGGAAGCAGTGAAAGAGCTTAGGGGGAAAGTGAAGTCTTTGCCCTTATGGACGTGTGTGTGGAAGGGCTGGGACATAAAGGCCCTGAGTGCTACAGATGGGGGAACATATTTGTGTGTGTGTGTGTGTGTGTGTGTGTGTGTGTGTGTGTGTGTGTGT